ATTTACTTATAAAATTTAGGTGCGTCGATCATTTGACCCCATAGTAAAAATTTTGCATGTGACAAATCGTGTGACTGGTATAACAATATGTACGTACTGTACATATAAGGCAATCTGATCAGATCAGGTTCGGCAATCTTTTTCCAGGCACGAGATCACAACTTGAGGCTACCAATCTGCACATTTGCACTTTCATTAAACGTTAACGTTTGATTTTATAACGTATTTTCGTTGGTAGTTTTGTCTTCTTTTATTTTTATATATCTTTTTCATCAAATAGTATAAACAACATTCTTGACAATATGATGCACCCTTACTTTGTTGCAAGCTTAATTGTCGGTGGCGCCGTTGTTTGCTATACTGCATATATTCTTTACAAAGAATACAAAGAGTTTACGGAAGTGCCACAATTTGTTTTCAATGACGGACCAAAAACTGATAGAGATACTAAATGGCGTAATGGTCAAACAAACGGTTACCAGAGTAGTGACGACGAGAACTTGTCTATTGTTGGTTCTGAGGAGAAATCTGGTATTAGGAGAAGAAAAAGTTCAAAAGACAAAAGCCGAAGAAATTTAAGCAATAAAAATCATGTGAGTTTGGCATAGTAATTTGATTCAACGTCCTTGCATTTATATAATATTTTCATTTTATTAGAGTGATGATGAACAAGAACTGCTGGACAGGCTATCATATTTGAACGCAGTTGAGCAAGAAATCGAACGCAAAAAACTACAATTAGCAAATGAAGAACGCATCCTTAGTGAAAGAGAACGTGAGATCGAAAAGAGAAGACAAAATTTGTCACAATCTACTCGTTCTAGTCGCTCAAGCTCACACTCTGACTTATGGCAGAGTATAAATTCGCCGATTGGTGTCACACACTCTAATCATTCTACAATCTCCACTTCTACCGTGGATGACGATCAACCATTGATAATTGGAAATCCAGATGTTAATTCTTTGAACTCTGCCCCACCCACTGTTAAAACGACTAGTTCTGTGAGCGAAGAACGTAATTCTCTATCTGACTCAATCGCTCACGCAATCCTTACACAAGACTTATCGCACATCAGCTTGCAACAACAGATGCCCGAAATTAACCCCACATACTTAATTCCTGATCCTTATTCAGTAGCTTCTAATTCGGCTATTTCTTCTAAACAAAGTCCGCACAACCCGATTCAAGAGACAGAACAACTTCAACAACAACAATTGATGAGATCCGATGTACTTCCTGATCAGCCACCTTCCTTATTAAAATCTGTTCCCACAGAAGAAACATGGTCAGAAGTTGGATCTATTATCTCTGAGAATTTTGGAAGCATCATGTCGTCAGTTGTAGACATTGACATGGAAAATATAGAGCATTGACGTTTTAACTTGCCTATGTATTCTATTTCTTAACAAGGATAAATATTCTCTTTTAACATTGGACATTATCGGTTACTTTAGATACTAACGTATGGTCACTCAAAGACAACAAGAAAAAATTTTGTACAAATATTTGCATGAACAAATATTCAGATTATATATATTTTGATATATATAGATATCATTACGATATATATAGCTGTAATAATAAAACTTTTTAAGGTTGCGTCTTTATCATAACACTCATTTTGTCCTAAGAAAAAAAATATATTGTGGAAAGATTAATGTTGAGTAGGAAAATGGGATCTGTTTTATTAGATTCATTCATTCATTCATTCGTTATTAAGATAAACAGATTTTAATAAATTGCTACCATTAGGTCATACAAGTTTGTTATAAAATTTGGTATAAAAAAAAAAAATACACGAAGCTAAAACTTATCCTTAAGTTTTATAATAAGCAATGATAGTTTGTAATCTTGAAATTTTGATCGTATCATTATAAGGCCGTTCAAAGTTGATTAGTAGTTTAACGTCAACATTTTGAGCTCAGGCTCGGGGGGATCAGCATGATGGAAAGTACAACTGTAACGTCGATCGTTACACAATTATTTATATTAGTTTTAGAGTACTTCCTATATGAAAACGTAATCGATTATCAAAACTCTCTCTCTCTCTCTACCACTCTGATAGTGGAGAGTACAGAAAAACATAACGTCAAACAAAACTAAATACTCGACTACAAAACTACTAGCAAGGGCTAAGACTAGAGATGGGCAAAATGCGCATTTTGGCCATGTTATGCGCATCATGCCGCATGATGCGCATGATGCGCATGATTG